ACTTGAAACTGTGTATGGAGTCAGCCTCCACCACATCACTTCCTAATGCATTCCATTTGTTAACCACTGTGTGTGTGTATGGTGTATGTGTGTGTGTGTGTGTGTGTGTGTGTGTGTGTGTGTGTGTGTGTGTGTGTGTGTGTGTGTGTGTGTGTGTGTGTGTGTGTGTGTGTGTGTGTGTGTGTGTGTGTGTGTGTGTGTGTGTGTGTGTGTGTGTGTGTGTGTGTGTGTGTGTGTGTGCGCGCTTGCTTTTAGCTTCCCCCAATATGGTCTTGACAGTCAGGTCCCTCAAGAAAAAATAACCTGGTTTTCATTTGCAATATTAAAATCTTGATCGCAAAATTATCGTATAACATTTTGTATCTTATTAAACTTCAAGCATTTTCTCCAGTATTTACGACGAGAAAACTGCTGTTTATCTCGTTGACCTCCGGGAATAATATGGTTATATTATGACACAAATAATGCAAATTGTATTATTATAACTCGCCAAGGTGAAAGAAAGATCCAATACACCAATAAGTGTATTATAAAACCCAAATTGTAATACACTTACACATATATATTTTGGATGTATTCTTCACCTTCATTCAAGCCCTACGGCACTGTAGAAAGTTCCTTCGATATAACTATTATTGTTGAATAAATCCACTTGAGCCTTAATGAGTGTTCGAACCTATGCCCTAAGTCCATTGATATATCACGTTAATGCGATTTATCTGACTATTATTATTGGCATTTGTATTGATCATGAGTGACGTATATACGAAGGTCATGCCCGATCATCCCACGCTGACTTGCACAATGCGCAATAAGACACTATATGTTGCGCATTGTGCAAGTCAGTGACAGCTTGACCTTTGTAAGAGAAGAGCTTATTGGTCTTGGTAGAAGGGAAGAGAATCAGGAGGAAGCGCCAAGCCATTAGGACTATATAGCACTTGAAAGGGGAGGGGGAGAAATGATGCCCAACCACTTTGGGACGGTCGGGGATTGAACGCCGACCTGCGTGAAGCGAGATCGTTGCTCTACCGTCCAGTCCAAGTTCTTTGGTTCTGAAGACCAAATAGTCTCGGGCTTGGTAGATGAAATAGATTATTTTGTTTTGTATTGGCCAGTGGTTGAAGTTGCTATTTGGCTGTCATCTTTGCTATCAACTAAAATGGTAGACGAAAATGATACAAGGAGCATGAGGGGAAAGTGATGCACGTGACGGGGGGAGAGGGATAATGAGGAACATGAAGAAGCGCAAGAACACGATGAAGGAAATGAAAGTTAAAGACGGAAGAGCAGAACAGGAAGAAGGAAGAGATTCAATTATTTCAACTTAATACCACCCGGTATCACACGCACACACGCTTGAATGCATGCGTGCACACACACACACACACACACACACACACACACACACACACACACACACACACACACACACACACACACACACACACACACACACAGGCTTGCTTGTGGGAGTTGAGCTTTGGCCTTTCGGTCTCGCCTCTCAACTGTCAATCAACTGGTGTACAGATTATTGGCCCTACTGGGCTCTATCATATCTACATATGAAGCTGTGTATGGAGTCAGCCTCCGCCACATCACTCCTTAATGCAATCCATTTGTTAACTACTCTGACGCTGAAAAGATTCCTTCTAATATCTCTGGCGCATTTGGGTACTAAATTTCCACTTGTATTCCCTTGTTCGTGTTCCATCCGGGCTTAGTAGTTTGACTTTGTCCACCATGTTAATTCCTCTGAGAATTTTGTTAGTGGTGATCATGTCTCCCCATTACTAGTCTGTCTTTCAGGGACGTGAGGTTTAGCTCCCGTAGCCTTTCCTCGTAACTCATACCTCTCAGTGCTGAGACTAGTCTGGTGGCATACCCCTGTGTGTGAGTGTGTGTGTGTTTTGCAAGCACGTGTACGCTGACTAGAGGAGCAAGGCAGTGTCCAATCTGCCTTTCTACTCTCGTACTTTTGCCATTCCAGCTTCATTCCTGAAGGTCAGGCAGCAGCGAGGGGAAAACAAACAGACCCTAATGACGATCCAGTCGTAAAGAGGCGGCGAATCGGAACAAATGACTAAGTCAACAAATGGCAGATCTCATTTGTCATCACGAAGCGTGAATTTGAGTTTGGTGGAGAAACGCTAGTAAATAAGGTGACACGGCAGCTTAGACAGTAGCAGAAGCAGCAGCAGCAGTTACAGCAGCAACAGCAGCAGCAGATGTGTTAGGAGGGAGGATCTGCGTACGCTTACACCTGTCTGCTGCCTGGCTAGAACCCCCCCACCCCTGTCATTACCAACAATCTGTGGTGGCTGTGCAAGAAAAAAAGCCCACATTAGCTACGATGATTGTGACTTGAAACCCGCTACTGAGTAACACATGGTTCAAAGGATCATGGCCGTAGCAGTTTATGAACCGTATTTAGCGTTCATGATCATGCTTTTTTGGGCGAGAGACACATGATACTTGGGGATCAATGATGCGATGTGAGAGCTGGTCACAGTGTTGGAGATGGACTAGCAGCAGCTGCTGGTGGAGAGGGTTTAACAGCAGCTGGGGGAATGCTTGGGATCACAGATCTGTTGCAAGTGCTAGCATCCTGTCTCGAGCTTTCCATTGTACTCTCATAAGTGATCAAAATATACCCACCTTTCCCAAATTTAAGCCCATTGTTTAATTATTTGGGTCTTTCATTAATGAGTTGAGAAACACAGTGAGAGGCGGAGTTCAAGCTTTGCTTCATTGGCTTGCTTACGGTAGGAACCTCTAGCCTTCCAGAACCAAGCTTGGGTTCGCTGCCTTGCTTACGGTAAGAACCTCTGGCTTTCCAGAACCAAGCTTTGGTTCGCTGGCTTGCTTACGGTAGAGGCCTCTGACCTTCCAGGATAAACACCCTGACCGCAGCGCCTTCGTCAGCCACCGCCAAGGACACCGCCAGCTACCAACACCCAAGTGAGAATGTAAACTTAGAGGAAACAGCAGAAGGCCAATTGACTTTCGCTGAACATAGCCTGTACACACGCATTTGTCCAGACTTTTGCTTTAAACTTACTATTGACTTTGCTTCAGTGATGTTGCATGCTTCCAGCCGTTATTTACCTGTTTGTTAAAGCTTAAGCCGCTACTCGATAAAGTTCCAGGAGGGATCGAAGCCTCGTCACTTTCTTTTCATATGTGTGTGGATTAGGTTATGTATTTCCAGTCAGGTTATTGTCATTAATTATCTACAAATCAAAACTTTTTTTTAACTTGGATCGAGTGTTTTGAGTATTATATTGGATTAATACTATTAGCAGCTTTATTAAACTCTCTCAAAATTTATACACTTCATGTTTTTACTCGACAACTTCTTAGAAAAGGTAAAATTCATCTTACAAGATGCTCTTCATAATGGGGATTCTTAATGTACGGAATTTAGTTAAATCATATCTGTATACTTTCAAAAAAGTTTTATCCATGATCCAACTGTAGTCCGACTTGGGTAAAATAATCCAAGTAGGGCTTCAGATGAGTAAGATAATCCAAGTTGGGCCTCAAATGGGTAAGACAATCCAAGTGGGTCTCACATGAGATTATTCGAACTTCTGTCACTGATGCTTCTTAATATGAGTCCTATTACGTTTTTCATCTTATTTAGAATATTTATGCAATTATCTTAGATGCAGATTCTTACTAATCGTAACTCAAAATTTTTTCACACACACAGCCTGACTGAAATTTGAAACATTGTCTCGCAGATATTTAGCACCATTCTTTATATTACAAAGCAGAGAATAAATCATAATAACGTCACTGAAACAAATTACAACGCCAAAACGTGAAATTATAAAGTGACGACGTTTCGGTCCGACCTGGAGCCTTATCAAAATGGCGACGTTTCGGTCCATCATGGAGCCTTATCAAAATGGCGACGTTTCGGTCCATCATGGAGCCTTATCAATTCGTGATACAACAAGAGTTACGACTTGTAAGGGTTCAGGGTGGATCGAAACGTCGCCTAATTCATTTTGTGTGTGCGTGAGTGGGTTGTATTATTTGGTATATGTCACAGGCTTAGAATTATACAGTTGTCTGCATTTAAAGGCTTTTATTCTATTTAAGTTCATTTAAAGCCAGTCTCAATCTTCCTGTAACGTTTTCGATTGAATTTACCACTTTTTGTATTGTACTGTCATGAGAGTACTTGGTAACATTAATGTTCACGCCTGTATCTAAATCATACAAAATCATGTTTCCCAATTATGAGGTAATTATGAGGAGAAAACCCTAAGCCAGTATGACTATACAGCCCTCGAAAGGGACATGAGGACAAATCGCTGGGATATAATAGAGAAGGAACGGTGTCCTAACTCCCTGGAACATCGGGGATTGAACGCCGACCCCGCAAGCTACAAGGTCGCTGTACCGACCAATGCAAGTGGGTGGGAGTAATTCCGTTATCTCTTCCCCCCCCCCTTAGTTGATATCAGAGCGATCGTTAGGGTAAAGAAACACGGTCTTATTACTAACGGCCTTCCTGTCCTGCCCACACGCGTGCGTTCTTGTATGCCTCTGGTGCTTATTATTAGACGCAAAGGCCAGTTTCCTGACACCGTAAGAGGACGGGAGCCTGACAAGGTTAGGTCCGTGTCCCCCCCACCTCCCCCCCCCCCTCTACCCTCCAGGAAGCAGTCGTGCCCAAGTCTAACGCAATATACCCCACACTTCAGCCTTTATTCCCATCGAGTATGTAACTTTTTCTCCTACATGGCACCCTTGATACCCGCGGGGAAATATATGTAATTTTTTTGCCAGCTTGGGTTGCAAAGTTCACGGGTCGGCGGTGAACCTTCACTCATCTTATTTACTAAATAGGATCACTACCTAGACGCGTTGAAATCTCCACAAAATTATCCATTTTTTTTAATTTGTTAGACTTCCACTGTTTGTATGAAGATAACTTTTGTCCCTCATTACGTACCGCGCAGAATATAAACTATATGGATACTTACTCATTTCTCTGGAATTCTCTGGAGTGATATTTCTTAGAGTGATGAGTATAGAGAGGTCGAGCACGTCCTCCCTCGTCCCCTGCAGCTGTGTGACTAACCAAGCTTAGTCTCCCCGGTCCTCCCACGCCCAACAGGTGAGGCGACAGAAAACGGGAGGTGGCAGCGATATCTCGAGTTGAAATTTACAAATGTCTCGCTGTGAAGACATTAGTATTACTTTCCAATCAATTAATATAAGATACAAATCACTTTAAAAAATCATTTAATAATCAAATAATGACATATTTTGATAATCGTATTTCCCAGGAAGGAGTTTCGAGGGGAAATTATCATTATTGAAATTAGAAAATAAGCTTATTTACTGGAAGACAATAATCAAATATAAGAGAGTTTCGCTCTTGATTCGTACGGTTCAAAGTCCCAGGTGATGCAATGGTGGAAGACGCCTTACGGTAGATAACCGCTGTCCATCTGTGTGAGGAGTGCCAGCTCACCTGGCTTAGATAGGCCAGGTGTAGAGCCCATTTTCTTGATTTCTCACACGTTAAATTTGTAGTGCTTTTGCCTAGCCAGGAGCGTTCGAACCTGCGCAGCTCATCTAACCTACTGAGGTCAAGGGTCAATAGTCCCAGAAAGCGTCAAAATTAGGGGGCTTTCATTTGTAATTAAGCATTGCAATTTTGACGTTGTGATCGAACGCGTTGAAATTGAGGTGGATTTAGAGAGAGGTCAAGGTGTATCAGTCTGCTGGGACTGTTGCTAGGCCAGCTGGTGCTGATGCTGGGGTTGTTCCTAGGCCAGCTGATGCTGGGATTGTTCCTAGGCCAGCTGATGCTGATGCTGGGGTTGTTCCTAGGCCAGCTGGTGCTGATGCTGGGGTTGTTCCTAGGCCAGCTGATGCTGGGATTGTTCCTAGGCCAGCTGATGCTGATGCTGGGGTTGTTCCTAGGCCAGCTGGTGCTGATGCTGGGGTTGTTGCTAGGCCAGCTGGTGCTGGGGTTGTTGCTAGGCCAGCTGGTGCTGATGCTGGGGTTGTTGCTAGGCCAGCTGGTGCTGATGCTGGGGTTGATCCTAGGCCTGCTGGGGTTGTTGCTAGGCCAGCTGGTGCTGATGCTGGGGTTGTTGCTAGGCCAGCTGGTGCTGATGCTGGGGTTGATCCTAGGCCTGCTGGGGTTGTTGCTAGGCCAGCTGGTGCTGATGCTGGGGTTGTTGCTAGGCCAGCTGGTGCTGATGCTGGGGTTGATCCTAGGCCTGCTGGGGTTGTTGCTAGGCCAGCTGGTGCTGATGCTGGGGTTGTTGCTAGGCCAGCTGGTGCTGATGCTGGGGTTGATCCTAGGCCTGCTGGGGTTGTTGCTAGGCCAGCTGGTGCTGATGCTGGGGTTGTTGCTAGGCCAGCTGGTGCTGGGGTTGTTGCTAGGTCAGCTGGTGCTGATGCTGGGGTTGTTGCTAGGCCAGCTGGTGCTGGGGTTGTTGCTAGGTCAGCTGGTGCTGGGGTTGTTGCTAGGCCAGCTGGTGCTGATGCTGGGGTTGTTCCTAGGCCAGCTGGTGCTGATGCTGGGGTTGATCCTAGGCCAGCTTACAAGCTTGTTTGTTGTTTTAGATTTGGCTACCCAAAACAATATGTCCATATAGCAAGGGCTATGGTGAGCCCGTGATGTAGGGGCCTTACAAGATTGAATGATTGATAAAGATTTAGCCACCTAAAAGGTGGCACGGGCTGGAAGATTAAAAATTAACTCTCCAAAGTTCATTTTTACTTATTATTTGGGTCTGACGCCTAGCGAACTTTGGAGAGTTAATTTTTAATCTTCCTGCTTCAGTGAAGAAAAACAAGAAATATCGAGAAGATTCGTGTCAGAATCATAAATCTAAAACTTTCTGTAGATTTCAACGATATATATATATATATATATATATATATATATATATATATATATATATATATATATACTATTGATCGGTCACTGTTGCCATCTAAACTTTGAAAGACTACCATTGTCCAGTCACTGAGTGCATGTCAGTTTAATAATTCAATGGCTAACTGTACGTATATTTCACGTTAGGTAAAGCAAGTAAATTTGCTGTCATGTAACGAGGCAGTCAGAACTGTGAAGCAGCTGTGAAAACAATCACTTTAACGCTAAATCACCACGCAGCTGCGCGACACAAACACACACGGGATAGATTCCCCGTTATTGCGTCAAAAACATTCTAACTGAAATTGAAATTGAAATAAGTTTATTGAGGTAAAATACACACAAAGGGATGAAGTAGCTCAACTATTCTCACCCCGTTCAGTACATCGTGTTAATACATACATATAAACACATCACAAACAATAAACATATTACCAAACATTCTGAGAGATAAACTTCTACATTTTCTATTCTAACTGGGAATAAACTGATCAACTAAAATCTTTCTCGAAACGATGGGCTATACGCCACGAGCGTAGCTCTCATCCTGTAACTACACTTAGGTAATTACATACACACACACACTCATATATATATATGATTATGCGTATATAATGTACATAAACATATAATACCATTCTAGGGAGAACCCGCTGATCCCCAGAGCCAGACGAGGTACTTGTCAACGTCTTAAAGGATACAAAGATGAGCTCTGTGACACTATTAATTGTTTCGATAAAAATACAGAAATCGGGGTTGTAAATGTGGGACCAATTTTAAGAAAGATCACTTAAGATGAACTATTCTGCCAATTAACTTGTGTCTATTGTAAGAAAATTGTTTGAATCGATAATTGCAAAATCAATTTGTATATATATATAATATATATTTAAAAGCATTGATGAATACTTGAGTCATAACATGGCTTTACTAAGGGCTGTATGTGTAAAAAAAAACTGACTCTCCTGCTTTTCCAGCCTTTTTGAAGGTGCTAATAGTGGAAGAGCTTACCAAAACGGGAGTAAACAATAATGGCCAGATCTCAATCCTTTACCTACTGCACAAATACTTTTAATCATTTTTTTTGCTTATTTTCACACTAAAAAAGTACCTATTAAAATTCAGACACTTTAAGAGGTCACGTGACCTAGTAAACCAAAGGGAGGAGACATGACTTCAACAAGACCTTAGTGATTATCTTGAGGTTATCTTGAGATAATTTCGGGGCTTTAGTGTCCCCGCGGCCCGGTCCTCGACCAGGCCTCCACCCCCAGGAAGCAGCCCGTGACAGCTGACTAACACCCAGGTACCTATTTTACTGCTAGGTAACAGGGGCATAGGGTGAAAGAAACTCTGCCCATTGTTTCTCGCCGGCGCCTGGGATCGAACCCAGGACCACAGGATCACAAGTCCAGCGTGCTGTCCGCTCGGCCGACCGGCTCCCTAAGCTAATTAAGCTAAGCTTCGGATTAAGCTAAGTTAAAACACCAACGTGGAGGACAGCTGTTTAAGGCTATAACGTAAACACAGACTCGTAACCACCTTGACTAAAAAATAATTTAATAAATGCCTAACCACGTGGACTCACCAGTGGGTGCTCTTACGAGTGTGTGCTCATTATCTTCAAGTGTATTTGAAGCAGCTGACAATGGTAAATTATTTGATATTCAAGGTCTTTTGACACTGTTCCGCTTGAGGAGTTAAGGAGAAAAGTTGAAACGCTTGGCATTGCAGGTGATGCGTTAAATTGGATTAGGGCAAGGTTGGCAGGAAGGAGACGGGGAGCTGGTATAAACGAGGGAAAATCAAGGGGAGAGTACCAGTCGCAGGCGGAGTGCATCAGGGCTCTCTCTTGGGATCTTCACTAATACATGTTGCTTGAGTACAAGTTGGAGTTGGAAGCCTTGATGGTACTGAGGAGGAGAGAGAGAAAGAGAGAGAGAGAATTAATGGAAAGTAGAGGAATTAGTAAAAGATAGGAAGAATTATTTTAATAGAGTATAACAAATTTTGATAGTGAAACATGCTGGAGGTCGAAAACGGGAATCACTTCATTACATTATGCAATTCAACCAAATCATCTCTAGTTATGATTTTTTATACAATAATTATGGTGATTGTTGTTAAAAAGATTCATGCTCTTGTCATAATACCATACTAGATACACCATATGGTCTCCTCACACTGAACAGTGTTCTTTAACAAACACTACTAGATACAACGTAAATTATCCTTACTCTGAACAAAGTTCTTTACCACATATTATTATTTGTGCTCTTTTTAGCCTTATTTGAATCACGTGACTCATTTTTTTTCCATATATCTGGTAAGACAATGACGAGCTCTTGATGTCACTATCAGTGACATCACCTCTGTTCCTACATGGTACTAGACACTACAGATCTGAGACGTCTAGACTGGACTGAGTAAATTCCAGTCTCTCTCCAGCACAGATGTGTGCCTTGACTCCGTTAGACCGGTGCAGGATGTTGATCTGACCTGACCATATTAGGCCAGTGAAGGATGATGGATTGACCTGACCCTACTAGGCCAGTGAAGGATGACGGCTTGACCTGACCCTACTAGGCCAGTGAAGGATGATGGCCTGACCTGACACTACTAGGCCAGTGAAGAATGATGGATTGACCTGACCCTACTAGGCCAGTGAAGGATGATGGATTGACCTGACCCTACTAGGCCAGTGAAGGATGATGGCTTGACCTGACCCTACTAGGCCAGTGAAGGATGATGGCCTGACCTGACACTACTAGGCCAGTGAAGAATGATGGCTTGACCTGACCCTACTAGGCCAGTGAAGAATGATGGCTTGACCTGACCCTACTAGGCCAGTGAAGAATGATGGCTTGACCTGACCCTACTAGGCCAGTGAAGAATGATGGCTTGACCTGACCCTACTAGGCCAGTGAAGAATGATGGCTTGACCTGACCCTACTAGGCCAGTGAACGATGATGGCTTGACCTGACCCTACTAGGCCAGTGAAGAATGATGGCTTGACCTGACCCTACTAGGCCAGTGAAGAATGATGGCTTGACCTGACACTACTAGGCCAGTGAAGGATGATGACTTGAGCTGACCCTACTAGGCTAGTGAAGGATATAATGGCTTGACCTGACCCTACTAGGCCAGTGAAGGATGATGACTTGACCTGACCCTACTAGGCCAGTGAAGGATGATGGCCTGACCTGACCCTACTAGGCCAGTGAAGGATGATGGCTTGACCTGACCCTACTAGGCCAGTGAAGGATGATGGCTTGACCTGACCCTACTAGGCCAGTGAAGGATGATGGCCTGACCTGACCCTACTAGGCCAGTGAAGGATGATGGCTTGACCTGACCCTACTAGGCCAGTGAAGGATGATGGCTTGACCTGACCCTACTAGGCCAGTGCAGCATGACCCTGCTAGGCCTTTGTAGGATGTTGACCTTACCTGACAGCCAAAATCGATCGAGGGGACCAGAATGATCTCGTCTCAGTGAGCAAATGAGTATACTGCTCCACTATGAGCTCTCTCTCACGTAGGGTCCGGATTTATTAAGAACTTATGCATCTATTTACGAAACCTATACATCTTTCCTCAACTACTTTGGCTTTGTTAATATTTATTAAACAGTTTATGAGATCTAAAGCACTACAAGATTGTTTATAAGAATAATACCTTGGATTATTTCGTTTACAAGCTAGTAAACCGTTTCGTTAAATGTAAACAAAGCTGCCATGTTTGAAAACGGTTTACAAGTTTCGTAAGTGGCTGTGTAAATGCTTGATGAATCCTGGCCGTGATTTATATTAACACTTATTGTTAGTTACAATAGTGGTCCGGGTCCGGGTCAACCTAGGAACCTAGACTACTACTGACTAATATTAATTTACTTTTTTATGTTTATTTTAAATCTCTTGTTTAATTTTTGCATAGCACACAAGTGATATCTATGCCACATTACAGTCACTTTGCCATATGTATACTGGAAAATTGGTTTAGGTTGTAATGTTTGTAAACCAAATAATCGATTCGACTTGTGATTTTCTCTTCATGCACAAATCTCTCACTAATCTTGTCCTGAAGTTTCTTCGTGTATATTTGACTCTGGGCTTTTATTTTCCACTTGCGGCGGCCCCTCGTCCTTGTCCTTGGCTATTCCATATTAAAACTATACTATGGATAGCAAAATAAGCGATACTGTAGCAAGTAGCATCACCTCTTAGGTTTTCATCATGCCATTCCTATGATAAAAATGAGGAATCTTATGCATAGAGAACATCGGTCGGCTAACAAATATTTTTACATGTATAGAAGCAGAAAAGTTCACCGAAAAGACAAATTGTTTAGAAGATTATGTGCCTATTGCACGAGCTACATAAGTCTTCCTAGTTTGGTGCCTTCTTTTGATAATTAAAATGGTACTTAAATTAATGATTCACTTAAAAGTTTCTTAATGTCTTTTCTACATCCAACCTATTGCAAATTTATTTTTTCCTGCATGAGCAGCACTAATAAATCCTGCTACAAGCAAAGTCTTCAACATTTTCAAGTAATTTGTTTATACAGTATGGAAGTAATTTATATTATTTCCCCAATCATCCATTGTATAGCATTAAAGTTGACAAATATTTGAAGCTTAACATGTCTTGCAAGAATCACTTTTTAATGAATATGCAGTACTGGTTCCCTCAGGACAACTGGAACTTGTGGCATAAGTTTCATGCGGTAAAGCAAATGATTAGAGGCCTTGGGGACAAAACATCCTCAATCTATTCTCAAATGTATTACATATTATAAGGTCAGGCTCAATAAAATATAATAATCATGTTTTAAGGAGGATTTATTTAATTTTGCAGTTTTCTTCAAAAAGTAGATAATGTGCGTGAAGATAATTTAGATATTCATACAATTTCTCAATCTATATACTCGCACACCTTAATTTATATTATTCATACAGCTTTTCAGGAAACATGTATTATTCATATTCAAAATAGACAAACATAAATTATTTACCAAAGAAGACCTGCTCAATAAATCTAAGATGCATACCAATAAAATTACTATAACAACTTAAGTTTGACATGATAAATCATGCTATTATTGACAGTTTGACATGATAAATCATGAAAATAATGGAGAAATCATTAGAAATATTATTAAAGGAAAAACTTTCTTCTAGATGTTTCCATTTCATGTCTCTTGAGGGCCCACTCATAGTCACCTTCAAACGCCCCCTGCTGTAACCACTGGAGCCGTAAGGTGAATCTTGGTCCAATTTCTCTTAAGTTGACCTTCTCTAGATTCTTAAACTCATATCTATAAAACAAAATTAATACTCGAATTAATTCCCGAGATGCAATATCATGTATTTTCATAGAGTACACGGCTGTATATTTTCCAGTAACAGGACACTACAATTTTCAGTTAACATTCAGTTAACACACCTGAAACCATTTAAATTCATATTACCAACAAACCCTATACTGATTTCTCCCAGAAACCTGGGGCCAGATTCACGAAGCAGTTACGAAAGTACTTACGAATGTGTACATCTTTCCTCAAACTTTGATGGCTTTAGTTACATTTATTAAACAGTTTACAAGCATGAAAACTTCCCAATGAACTGTTGTTATTGTTATAAACAGCCTCCTGGAGCTTCTGAGCTCAATAACCGTTTAATAATTGTAAACAAGCCGCCAAAGATTGAGAAAAGATGTACAGGTTCATAAGTGCTTGTGTAACTACTTCGTGAATCTGGCCCCTGCTCTTTGAATTAAACCTGAAAGGTCATATGCAATCATCTTGAAATAATTAACACTCAAGATATGATTTATCATATTTGAGAAAAAAATGAACCTGAGCACAATAATAAAAATTCATTGTTACTGGTCTAAGATAGGAGTGCATCATTTAAATATATCTAGCTAACGAGCACATCTGACAGCACTATTACTACAGAGTTCATCAACAAACCATTAATTAATAACCACATCAGTAAAACCCACCAGTAAGCATGAATTCTTCACAAAACTATCCACCATTGTGAGGTACTGCCAGCTTTTACTCCAGTTAGAGACAATGTGGTTGTGTATTATCTGTGGCAATGCATGTTGCATGTCTTGTACAAAAAAATATGGGCAAATATTATAAACTCTGGTTACATATTATATACTTAACAAACCGTGAGTTGTTATTTGGAGGTTCACATAAAGTATTGAATATAAAAAAAAATGCATCACACTAAGATCAACTTTTTAGCAAAAGGAACCTTACCTATGGTGCCGGAAGAATATGTAATCTCTCTGATTGTGGAAGGTACAAACTCTTCGTCCTTTGAACTCGGGTTCGTAATGAAAAAGGGCTCCCAACATGCGTGCCACTACACGTCCTAGCCGTGTTTTGAAATTATTTAGAATAACCTCAGGTCTGTTGAAAATTCAAAGGAAAATATATTGTAATAAAGTGCATATGAAACTAACATGTAGAGAATTAAGCTCAATGATGAGCATTGTTGGATGATTTCACGATGACTTAAGAACTTAGAAGTGAATAATAAAGTATGCAATTTGGAAGGTGCTATATTATTAAATCATTTCAAGTGGTAATTTAGGACAGTGTTTTTCAGTATTTAACAGGTTAAGACATTTCTTTAAACGAAATATTTTTGTAATTTTATTAACAGTAACCAGTCTTTATATAAAATTTTCAACAAATAAAGACCTCATGGGCACATCAACAATAGCACACAAAACAACATTCAATATTTATGCACATCGAAGACAATGGTAGTATGGTTATATTAACTAGCTAGAATCAAATTAGGAACAATCGTTTCTGCCACAGAAGAAATTTTAAATTTAAGGCCACTAAATTCCCAGCCTGTAATATAGATTCTAGGTACTGCCCAAATATTAACATAACTGAAAAATACTGCATTTATAATAAAAACAATCATATGGGTTACAATTAGAGACATTTAAATACTATATCATGGTTCTATGCTAAGAGAGATATAAGCATGGTTGTGATATATGTACATTCAAAATTTCCATTGATGGAGAAGCAGACTTGAATACTTAGGTGTTGAACTGAATAACCTTAGAACCTGCTGAACATGAAATAGAGGATCACTTTCCTTCATTTTGACATTTTCTTTCACTTGTTCATGTTCACCAGGTTCTTGATCTATGTGAATGATCTTCCCGAGGATGAAATTCTAACAAAGTTTGCAGAGAATGTACAACTGAAGAGAAGGGTTGGAAGAAACGATTTGCATGATTGGTCAAACAAGCAGCTACAACAAGGAGTCAATTCTTAGTAAATGTGAAGCAATGAAGTCTTGTAGTAAGGAAAGGAGGCCAGAAGAGCAATTACAGTACAATGTAAGAGGGATTTAGTTTAAAGTGGTGAGAAAATGAAAGACTTTGGTAGGGATCCACAGAAAACCTTAACTCAGTAGGTGCGTGTTAACAGAATAACACAACAAATGCAAAAATCGCGCACACACACACATGAAACTTTGAAACCAGCTCCGGGACAGGGCATATATCCCAGAGCTCAAATCCCAGGAGACCATGAACCAAGCAGACAGCCCAAGGCCCCATAAGGTCTTAACACACAGTCTTGAGGCCTCACAAGGATCCAAGCACACATCCCTGGGATCCCCATGGCACACAACCACATGTATATATATGTATGTGAATTGGAAATATAGTTTAAGTACTATTTAAGTACCTTTACTATTGTACAAACATCACATCTTACCTGTGAGCTGTGATTTCATGGTGATCTCTATGGATTTCTTTACAGAGTTTTGGATTGCTTATTCTGAAAAGTGCTGTGGGTCCCTCTGGTAAGTGGACTACTAAGAGTCCATCTGTAAAATTATAATACACAATTTAAAATTATTTTTATACTAATACATACTTAAATATTAAACATATTTTAATTTCAACTACTTTGCACCATACTCTTGAGCACTCCATTCTTTTCTAAACACAAGTTTCACTTCCATATGACAGGTGCTGGGAGAAGTATACTACAGAATTTCTAGAGTTCTTTTTTCCTTCCTTACTAAAATTCCTATTTTTCATATGCAATTCATCTATCCCAACACTCATTACTTTCTTAGTTGACCTTTCATTACTCAAATTTTTATCTAATACATTCCCCAAATATCTAAAACTCATCGACAGCACACATCTCCGGTGCCAGGTAAGTCCACTACGGGCTCACCATAGCCTGTGCTGCTTGGAACTTTATGTTCCGAGTAGCAGAATCTAAAAACATCTAAAACTTACAATATCACTTTCTCATTTTATCAAATAGGTCAAATTAACCTTTCCTTGTCAAAATACAGTACATACATAGAATTGTTAAGATCCTTAAATGACAGGGTTGAGACATTAGCAATAAATGGAGAAATAGAAAATATTATGATATCCATAAATTCATCTTGCCTGCGCAAGAATACAAGATTCTCGCCTTGTGTTTGGTAGCTTTTTCGAAAGTCATGAAAGGCCTGTTTATTACTGGCGGCTCCAATGAATCAGTGCTACAAGCCAAGGAGTGCCACTGAGGGGCTCAATAGAGAAAAGGAATAATTTGTTATTGAAATGTGCATGTAAAATACATAAACTTCCTTGGTGATTATGCTTACTGACTATATTCATGATGATATCCTATGCACCAAAAATGTATGGCCTGGCATTGAGCTATCTAGTACTTTTTAATAATTTACAATCAATGTTTTTTCCACTATTAAATCTGATTTTTGTTTAAGGAATTTTAATAGATTTGAAAAGAGCATGCTAGCCACTAGATAGCAATGAGAAATAATAAAAATTTTAGGAGAGAGAGTGTTAAGCTACTTTATATGCAGAAATTATTTGGGGTTTTCATTCTAGCATAAACCTCTAATACAGGTGATGGATTTGTACAATATTTTGAACATAGCACATTAACATTGCAGTGGAAAAAATCATATCTTACTTGGTAACCTCTTATCCTCATTAACAATCACCACATCCGTAAAGCCGTTATCTTTGGCACTGTTGATCATCTTTTTAATGCTCGATCTCTTTCTCCACATTGGTTGTGAATCGGGGATCATGCGACACAGCTCACGAATAAAAGCTATAGTTTTCTGAAATGTTAGAAAAGCCAGGTCAGTACAGGTACAGTGTAAAAACATTGAGAAAATGCAATATATAATTAACCTTAAAAGATGTTGATGGTTAAAATTAAAGAAAGCTGTGAATGGAAGCAAGACATTTTATAATTTCAAGTGTCAACTTATAACATGAATCTACAGTACTTGAATACTATAATTCCAAATCATCTTTAGTAATATAATATTCAGTGAACAAACATTATTAATTTCATCTTTTGCAGGGCAAAACACCTTCCTCCCACCACCCACCCAAAAAAATAAAAACAATCGCATGTTGTGTTCTCATCTTGTATTCACATGAATACATGTTAATACCTAAAGATTATGAACTCCAGTGTTTAGAGCACAAACATAAAATACTTTCCAAGCAGTATTTGCATTAGTGTGACTGATATGAAAATAAGCAGTTATCCAATAGCTTAAAATCACACCAAAACATGTTGAACACTTACTGTGTGTGGATTGTCACTGCAGGTAACAAGTACTTTGGGAACATAGGATTTAGTAAAATAAGAAGAGAAGGCATCTGTTGCTTCCTCATGTTCCAACTCCTCATCCTCTTCCTCGACCATAGTTTCATCCTTCTCTCGCAACGACTCAATGGTGTGAGGCTGTTTCTTTGGTGGTGCATCATCTCCAAGTCTTTCTAATTCTTTCCGTTTTGCTTTCTTCTCTATTATTTTTTGCTGGAAAAGACAAAATAAAGACTGAGTTAAACTGTTAAAGACTAAAGTTAAACTGAGCAAGGACAGAGTAGATGAATATTAAACAAAATATTAAATACAACATAAATAGACGAAACTTAGAAGTTGACTAGATTACTGAAAATGGAAACTGCCAAAGCTAATCTAATCAAACCCAACATAGCAGAATAAGATTTATTATTCACTTAAATGATTATACTGAATGTAAATTTTGGAGATATGCTCACTGGTTGATTCTTGTATGCACTACAAAGTAATAAACATTTAAAAATCTAAATTACCCCAGGATAGTAAAAATGCAGCACAGACATTTGTGCAGTGATTAGTATGCAAAATAACGACATATGTGCGTGTACGATAAAGTATAATGCATATATAATAGTGGTTATTTATGATAACCAGACTACACACTAGAATGTGAAGGGACGACAACGTTTCGGTCCATCCTGGACCATTCTCAAGTCGATTGTGATTATTTAGTAATTGTCTTAGGCATAAAGTAGTGTTCCAGGCATACTGTATAGGTAAAGTTACATTAAGTAACATTAGTTAAATAATTATTAAAATCTGTGTATGTGACCTGGAAATGGTAATTTCATACATAAAATAGTTCAGAACATTTTGGCTGTATTAATACTTATCTAATCTAACCTAGCATAATTTGTTTTTAAATAATATACAATATAAAGATCATATTAACAAATTTACATGGGAAAATACTACATTTATATATACAGTAGTTTATACACATCTCGGTAAACAATATCTGTATATCGATTTAAGTTACGCCCTTGTACATCCCTCATATTCCATAGGAAGAGGACAGGAAGCCGGCAGCTTGTCAAAGGTTCAGGTTATTTGTCCTGAAGATTTTATCAAGCTGATTGTTAAAATGAAGCAGTGTTTTGGCATCTACGGTCTCGGCGGGTAGGCGGTTCCATGGGTTTATTTTATTTTAAATTGTGTATAAGATACAGTATATAAAATTATGAATTATGTATTAATGACTTATAGTGTCTATAACAGCAGTTATGAAATTCCGTTTCTGCCCGAAACGCTATGCGTATTAGTGGCTTTCCAAGAATGTAACGCTAAAATACCAAATATTATATACTCTTACAACCCAATGGAACTTTTTGTATATAAATAAATAAAATAAAAATAAATGACTTCCCGACCCTATGCCACCCCAAACAATACCTTGTTCCTCTCCTTCTTAAACTGCGCGAAGGCCTTTTGCCTCCCGATTTTGTTCTTGATCCGGCTGATGCCGGAGTGCTTGGGCATACAGGGCATAGGCTCATCATCGCCATTGTCGCTGGGGCCGAGGTCCACCTCGGGCACGTTGTTGTTGCTGCTGGGCGCCGCCATGATGCTCTTGCCGGACATGACGTCACCTGTAAATATCATCTCAAAATATAACTGGAACCTCCCATATGAAACAATTTTTTCCCCTTGATTTCTATTAAACGACCTATTTATAAACTGGGAAATATGTACGTAGACTCGTGGTATAATTATTCGTAGGCGGTATGGGTTTAGAGCGTTGTATATAAGGTAACGTGGAGGGGGTTGAGGGGTGGTGAAGCTTCTAAAAGGTCAGAGTGGTGGAGGGTGAGGACGCTGACATCCAGCAGGAGCATTGTGCCAGGCGCTGTTCTAAACATCATTCACCATGCCTAAAGGTAAGGCCTAATTCGCTACACTCTCTCCTTATCATTGTTCTTAGCCTTTCAGGAGTATTGTGGTCTAGTTTGGTTTCACAGGCGCCTGTCGATAGACCCGAGGTGGAAACGTGTAATTTTGTGCAATCTTGTAACAAAAATTTGTGTTTTATATATTTTTTTATTTTTTTTTTTTGTGCAGCATTGAACATGTATGAATGTTTATTGTATCTCGTCTGGTGCTGTTTTCGGCAGTATAATCGATGAGTCCTCGGATTATCGAGTCTGGTTGATAATTTCCACGAAATGTTGTCCATTAGTGGTCTAGTACAAAATATTGGGTTATAATAATGCATTAAGTTGCTAGCATGACGTTATTGTTATGGACTACAGGACTGCTTAAACGCAAATTACCTAAACTCCTAGCATTGTTAGTAATGAAGAAATATGATATATTTATCTTGATATAATGGTGCTGAATGTAGAACATGAAAGAACATGCTACTTAGCATGTTCTTGGCATAAAATATTTAGGAGTAAACATGTTTTTTTGTGTTCTACATTCGGCACTAAAATTATAGCGAGTGAATGTCATATTTCTTAATTTCTTACCTAATACAAGGAGGCTTTGAGTAATTAGACGGACCACATACAAGCTACTTAGGCCGCCGCCTCCTGATGGTCACGTTATTGTACTAATTGGCATATACCCTTGTCTACAGTCTACAGTGATGATGCTTGTACGCTCTGACTCATCTTCCCACTGATTGCTGTGTTCCACCATTAATAATAATGTTGCAGATGAGTCATAACGTGGCTGAAGAATGTTGATCAAACCACACACTAAAAGATAAAAAGACTGTGTCGTTTCAGTCCGTCCTGGATCATTATCAAGTCGATTGTGTTATCACAATTGACTTGATAATGGTCCATGACGGACCGAAACATCTTCTCGTCATTTAGTGTGTGGTTTATTCAACAACAATAATAATAATGTTTATTTAAGCAAAAGGACATACAAAATCGGGTACAAGAAGAATGTTGGATTTCTAGATAGAGCAAGTACCATGCCTAAAGCCACTAATATATACACACAACATTTTGGACATTAAGGAAATATACTTTCACTGTCTTGTTGAACTTCTAACTGGCAAGATATTTTAACTTTATCTCCAGCTTTATAGTTAGACATACCTTTGGCTTATTTGTGGAATAATCCAAAATAACACTAGCATGATCCTCTTGCTTTGCATAAAGTGTTTTTTTATGGTAGGCATCTGTAAGGGATAATTTTATTTACTAAATTTGGAGAAATTTTTACCTGTGTACTGTACACTAAAAACATTTTTAAAATGTAAACTGGGCTATGGCATGAAACTTGTTTTTTTAATTGTAATAAAAATTTTGTGAATTAATGTTTATTGATAAGTGATTGTACCATAGTGTGCATATACATTGTGAATGAAAAGTGACGTGTATTTCTAGGAAAACATAAGGGTGGCCGTCGCCAGTTCACCAACTTTGAGGCGATGGAAGCACAGAAGAAGAAAGAAGAGAAAGAGCGTCAATGGAGAGTGAGTTGACAGTGTTTCGTGTTGAAATTTAGATTTTTAATACAGTACTTAAATTTTCTGATATTTTTCTTTAAAATATTTTCAATTAATTTTCCACTAGAAAATATGACCAAAATATCAAAACGAGACTATGCCTGTTTCAAAAACATGTAATAACTAATATTATTACATGTTAAAAATGACCAGTTGGCACAACCATAAAGAATTTTATATTTTGGTTTCGTGGTTTTCTTATAGGTTTCATTTGTATTACAATTCTGTTTTCATGTAAAGTGCAAATATCAGGAATCTTGTATAAACTATATATGGTAAAAATGTGGCTAATGTAAATCATTATCAGGCGATGTGTTCCCAAATTTTAATAAAATATAGTTTTAAGAAATGTTTTATATATTTACAAAAAAATCACTTTGTATTGTTTATTTATATATATATATATATATATATATATATATATATATATATATATATATATATATATATAAAATCTCATTTCTCAAGCTTATTTTCTTTATTCGGGTTATTGCTTCTATAACAAAAATTTTGTGACGTGCTGCCTGTAATTTTTGGCTGACAAGCTATCAATGATTTATGCACCAGAAAGCACTTATTTATGGATAATGGTTTAATGTGTAGGTAGTCCCTCTGAAATAAGGGTTTGTTATGCTTGGTTTGAATTTTTCAGAAAGATCAAGGAGAGACGGATAGTGAGGACGAAGATAAAGAGTCGGGGAGCGGCTCGTCTTCAGAAGAAAGCAGCAGTGATGAGGGTGAGACGAAAGAAATTAAGGCGAAAGGTGTTGGGGGATTGATTGAATGCGAAAACCCCAACAGAGTAATCAGTAAGCCCAAGAAAATTTCGAGTTTAAATGCTGAAAGTTCAGGTGGTGCAGCTGCGGCTGCTGCTGCCCCTGCTCCTACTAGCAAACCCCAGCTATCACGACGTGAAAGGTAATATACTGTATAATGCATGTTACTTTGACTGTTCTTACCTGTTCAGTGCCCTGAACATGTTAAAAATTGTATTTTGCATCCAGAAATTGATAAGTTAGCCATTCTGTTGCTTAAAAATGTTTTGAGTTTTATTAATTCTAATAGTGTACTGTTATTATGTTTTGGAAAGACAAAATCTTGTATGAATGAAGAGAGATGATGCCATAGACACCAATGACACCACAGTTATTTTGTATATTATATAATGTACTGTCCAACATAAAAAAAAAATAACTAAGTTGTTGACTATAGCATTCGATAAGTTCTGCTGGGTAATAATTAGAAAGTATATACTATTACTTGTATTGATACAGCATCTTCTGCAGAAGAATTTAAATTACAAACATTATTTGGCACTACTGTATTACAAAAAATTCTTTCCCTGAGGCATTGTAGACAAAAATTAAATATTGACTATAAGAATAACTTGATTAAGCTTGAGGAAACATAAAATTTCTACACCTACAAAATTCTAGGTGCTATAGATTGTCTGTGGTAACTGGTTGAAAAGGAAATCTTACTCCTTAGTGAATATAAAAAAAAGTAAGAATTATGGTCAAATTTATTTACAAAGTATTGACAAAATTTGGGACTTGGGAGTGAAGGGGGGGGGGGGTGTTGAAAAAGTTATGTACTATAAATTACCAGTGAATGAATAACTATTTTAGGAAAAAATTTTTTTCAGGTTATAAAAATGTAGACAAACCTATTTGCTACCACTCAAAACTGTTGTATTGTCCAGTATTTCCTAAAGTTGCAATGAAGGCAATCCTGTTATCATTAATAATTTATAAATCACTAATATTGAATAATTTGTGAATATCACTCTCCAGGCGATGACAAGGTAGTGGGGTGATGTAGCAGCAGGTGACATGTTACCTTTGCATAGGTTCTATAGGTACAGAGGGCTTAAATATTTTTTTCGTAACATGGTCTACTCTGTCCCACGAGAGACCATTGGTGGTTGGAGGCATATCCTTACGTCTGCTGAATAGTGTTCTAGTTTTCCACATTTCATGTTCTTCTAGTGATGTTGCCAACAGCAGAATTGCTCAATTTACAAACCTGTTGGTTCTCATTATTTTTGAGTAAATTCACATTATGTAAAATGTAACACCTTTACTGTACTGTGTATTGATTCTGAATATTTTTCCATTCTTAGTGGTGACTAAATTGAAGTTTTAGATTGGTATATGTGGAGTTAATTTGGGCAGAGAATTTACAAGTAAGAAATGTCTGTTGCATGATCTCTCATTTCTTTGCAGAGAGGAGATAGAGAAGCAGAGGGCAACAGCTCATTATCGTAAGCTGCATGCAGAGGGCAAGACTGAAGAGGCACGGGCTGATCTTGCTCGTTTAGCTCTAATTCGACAACAACGTGAAGATGCAGCTAAGAAAAGAGAAGACGAGAGGAAAGGTGTGCATTTCTTTGTTGCAAATTACTTAACGTTTCATTCTGTACATTATTCTCATCTATATAAAATGTGGTAGATCTATTATACTACAATAATTTTAACGTATATTTAGCACAGATAATGTAGAGAAGGAGAAATACAAAGTGAGATAGATATATACTAACATTGAGGAAAGAGTATTTAAATGGACTTGGCATGATGAATGTATGGATGATTGTAGACTGGTGAAGAGGATTTGAGTGAATTTAAGAATAGGATGAGGAAAGAAATCCTTGGATGATTGGTGGACATACTGAATGAAACTAAGCGTAGTTACAGCATGAGAGCTACGCTCTTGGTGTCCCGTCTTCCCAACACTCGTAACGCTTTGAAACAATTAATGTATTTTACCCTCCACGGCCACTGTACACACACAACTCCTAAAAGTGAATCTTTTACGTGCCATGTGTTACTGCCTCTTGCCCATGTCCAAAACATTTTATTATTAAATCCATGTTGAGAAAAATGTGAAAGTTGCTTGGCTGGGCAATGTACATCAATGCCCAGTTCAATAATCTTGCTCTTCTGTTAAATATTGTATTTGCAATGTGTGTGCCATTTTTTATTAACAAGATGACTTCACAGTAGCAGTCAATGCTGAATGTGGATAGAGAAAGCAGAAATGTATATATTGAACAGGAAATTTGATACAAAATGAGGTGAAACGGCTAATACACCCATGACTTGTCCTTGCTGAAATTTCTTTAATAATTTTTTGGATATTAGCCCAATTAAGATCGTATATTTAGTACATAGGCACAATTGATTGCTGTCAATTGCTCTTATTGTGTGCAACAATCAGTCTTTGCTCATTTTCCAATCATCTAGATTATTTCCTCATTTGTCTAACATTGTACTCTGCCATGTGAATTTCTTTGCTTTCTGGAGATTGATTTATAAATTCACCCTAGTGAAATTTGCATATGGTTGCAATACCCAATTGGAAAGTTCAGATAAAGCTAGTGAACCTACACACACATACTCTGGCATGCTTTCCAATATTGCTTGTTGGTATGGGAGGATTAGCTCTTAGTTTCTCATCTTCACTGTTGGGTATATGGTTTGGCACTTAATTTCCAATGGTGGTTGTATCTACTGTACTTGTATAGCTGCAGATTGAATTTGAATCGGGCTACTCTTCCTGTGGTTCACATGTTCACTGCTCATACATTGAAGGAATATACTGGTAGTTTAAATTGATTCTTTGCAGGGAGGTAGGTATCTGGAATATTGGCTTTATTTAACCAGTCATCTTTATCACTTATGCATTTTATTTATTTACAGCTAAAGAGGCGGCAGCATCTGTGAAGAGAGAACAAATAGCTAAGGCACTGAATAAGAAGAAAAGCTGATCATATATCGCTTTTAGATACGACCATGGTATAGACAGTCGACACGTAAAAGCTCTTGCCAAGTGGCTTTGTGCAAGAATCGGTAACCTCCTACATATTATTGACCAGTATTTGGTGTTTGATCTTCGCTTCCACTTTTTCCTCCCTTTTTAAGAACATTCTTACGTTAAACCCCTGTTTTTGTCCAGAGCCACTTTGTAATGTTAAAAATTCCTTACTGAGTTTGGATTTCTTTCTATATTTTTCTTCCATTTTATAAATGATAAATATATATATATATACTCTTTTTACATGCCAGTATTGGTAGTGAAAATGTTTGTATATAAATTTTCCCAAACTTAAGTTTAATATACTACGGAAAAATTATTTATAATGAATAATGTGTTATTCAAGCTGCTTATTTAATTTTTGTTACCAAGAAACTTTTGTAAACTTACGAAGAATCCATTGTACGGTAAATTTTCCATGTTCTTGCTCAGTGTTGCTGATAATTCTTTTAATAAGGTTTGCCATGATGAATTGGCACAAATTCTTCTCAAAATAGTTATTTTTTGTGTTCCCACTTTTTTTTTTCTCCATGGTTTGAATTTCATTCACTATGCATTAATAGTGTGATAAATGCTGTCGTTAAGTAACTGATCACCATAAAATGCTCTTCTGTGCTTTGATATTAAGTGTCGGTACTTAAAGGAGAAATAAAATCTGCAATAAACTAGACGTTTGTATGTTTTAACCCTTAGAGATTGGGCTGTGCAACTGATTGTAGTAGTTGTAAGACGTTGGAACAGTTTATTTAGATATCGTTCACCTTCTGCGCTTTTGTTTTGGTATTGGCGTCTTTGGTGATCTCTAGTGCCTTTTGAACATTGGGCAACTTGGATAGTGCTATTCACCAGCATGGCTCCTTGTTTTGATAATTACTTGCTTAATAGAAAATGTTTGCAAGTTATTTGTCCAAAAAAAGTGGAAGTGTAGGATACTATTTACTATCAGTGGGTCATAAAAATAGTATTTTTGTCCTTTAAATTTTTGAGATGTATTTCATATAAATAAATATTAGTTGGTTCCAGCACCATTCATACTTAATATCTTGACAAGCAAAGATAAGTATTGATAACTGCTGCTGGTAATGTACCCCTTTCTTGAGGCTTATTATGATCATTAATTTCTTTTTATATCCATCTTTGGTCAAGAATAAAACTGGATTAGGAGGGGTTATTGTGGTTTAGGTTTGATTCATCAATGATGCTTACATAGTTGTCGAAGAGATGTGATGTAAAGTTCTTGAGCTCGGCCTTGTAGCAATGATACAGGTGCAGCATACCTGCAGATGCTCCAGTACTGTTGCTAATTGAAGCTATGAATAATACTTTCTACTACTACCATTACTGTTCCAGTCGTGCATCTCCCTTTGTTTTCCTCTTGCCACTTCTACTTTGACTCCATTTGCCAGTCCTGATACTAAAGCCCATATTTCAGTTGCTTTACTGCGGTCAAGGTGTATCAGCCACATTTTTTCTAAAGCCTGTTATCTTTGTAAATCTACCACACTAAAGGCACTCTTCTCCGTGATGTCCTGTGGTGGCATAGAGCTTCAATTTTGGAGGTCCCAGAGGACCAGGAATGAGCAAATATAGTAGATTAGTAGCTGGAAATTGTTAAGACTTTAATGTGAATACACACTGGCTGGGAGGGAGGGGGAATTTCCATTGTTTCCCTAGCATGCATTAATATAATTCACAAAAATCACAATACCATGATATATAAAATGAACAAATCCACAAGGGTCCTTGCCGAGGGTTCGAACCTAAGCGCTGGATATTCCCAGATGCACTCTTTAAGTCAACTGTACAACGATATGGTAGAGTTGTCTGGTAATGTCCAGCTCATAGGTTCGAACCCTCACCGAGACTCCTTGTGGATTTGTTCATTAATATAACTGGTGGAGACAGTTTGAAATCTTCCACACTCCAGATAGAGAATTTCGATCTGTATTAGATAATAACAAGGGGGTAAGTAGGATCTTGCACTACAGAGGACAGAAGTGTCTTATTCATATTCAGTATTTGTACATATAAAGCGTGATATTTTTTTTTTACATTGGTTATTTGCAAAGAAAACACTACCTAGTGATTTGGAGTAAGTCATGTAATATGTTTTCTTCGCTTTTTGTAATTGGTGGTACCCCCAATGTTGAACGTTCTAACAAGTTCAATATTACAGCTAGGCACAACAGGGATATTCTTAATCACTTCTTGTGTAAGGAAGACACTGTAGAACACTATACACCCCAAAATAACTAACGAAAAGGCTCATTCAAATACCGTAATTCAGAGCCCTTCGAATCGCTACTTGACGTTGCAGGAACCACCAAGCAGCACTCGTTAATTGCTACCTTTGACCACCATTAGATGGCAGCACCCACACGTAACTATTGTTTACAACAAGATCTACTCTAGCTGCTTCTCGGAATCCTGGTTCACCCTTGACGTCGAGCAGACATTTTGTCCCCAACTGTTCCGCCTTGCGTCCGTCGGACAACCCGTGCAACGCGACGCGATGTTTATAACTGGATCCCGATACTGTCCCGTCAGTCATTCGTTTTTAACAGCACAGATTGATACGCCGCCTGGCGAACATTCGCCTTAAATCATAGGTAAGTTGATAATTGTGAGTTTTCCGGTTGGGTCTTTCGGCGGGAAAAACGGTGTCCGGCGACGGCTTGGCCCAGGAAGTTTTCTGTGTCTGGTTGGTTGGTGTTTGGCGATTTTCTCCCCTGGGGACGCCAGGGGTCATCAAGAATTAACTCGACAGTGCGTTTATCTACCACAAAGCACAGTAGTTTTCCGCCAACAGCCGACACGTAGCAATTATAGGCTTTACGCGTCTTTCCATATATAGGCCTGCGGTCGATAGGCCGCAGTCCTATCGACCTATCGTTAGGCCAAACGATGTGACATATCGTTTGCCAAAAAGCAAACGGAATCACATTTCTTCCTGACTGGTCTCCACAAGCTGGTCAGACTGGTGGTGACCAATACATCACAATGAAAATATACTTTAAATACAGAAACAAAAATAGTTGTTCTGTCCTTAGAAACTGTTTTATTGGGGGAGAAACTGTTTTATTGGGGGGGGGGGGTTAGGCATCTGATATAACTGGACTTTGTATGTAACACTATATAGGGTTCTGTAGTTATCTTTAAGGTTTTAGATCCGTTAATATTTCAACGGTGGTTAAGTCACAGAATGGTGCATAGGTAACATTGCCCGTAAATTAAAATTTGATATATTTTTGGGAGGGCGATTGATACTCGTGCTGAGCTAAATATATGTTTTATATAAGTAAAAGTAAAATTTAATAATTGAAAATAGTTAATAAGTGAATTATAAAGCTTACAATAAGTGTCATTTTAATTGAATTAACTATACCAAAGAATATAATGTATAACCCGTAAATAATGAATAACTATAATTAGCCTTCACGGGTGAACTAGCCTAATTTACAGTATTTAGTCCAGCAGGTAAAACAAAATGAACGTCATAAATTTTATATATAACAGAGCAAGTAAAACAAGCTAACATGAATACTCATAAAGCTTAGATGAGCCTAGTGTAATGTAGAGCGCTGTGAGTGGGGTGTCGGTGAAACTCCCCCCCCCCCCCCCCAACTTCTTGTTCTTGTAAAACAACAACAGCCCTGGCTGTTGTTTTACATTCAGCTACTCAGAACAAAAAAATTCAAAGTAGCACAGGCTATGGTGAGCCCGTAGTGGACTTGCCTGGCACAGGAGCGGGGCTGTAACTCTACCCCTGGAGTGGACCCCCCCTATATAAGCAACTCGTCCTCCTAATAGCGCGTCGTATTTTGACGTATTCTCAACCCAAGGCCGAAATTTGTACTAGAAAATGGTGGCGGCTCGCGAAATTGACATACTGTCCCGTTTTCTGTTTTGGACCCTCTGGTAGGTTAGGATAAGGGCACTTTAATACGACAATTTCTTGACGTTAGGAAATCCTAGAAGGATGGACTGATATAAGACTTATACACAAAATTATAACGTCAGGATGAGAAGAAATTAATTATATATTTCCATTTCGTAAATTATATTATGTGACTTACAACTGTCAGTTTTTTCACTGCCATTCTAAATTAAACAAAAATATATGTCTGCAAAACAATAAAGTAAATTACTTTTAGCGGAAAATTTGATAGCCGAGCATCCTTCCATGGCGCCTCAATTTGACACAGCCTTCTCATGTGCAGGTTTCCGTAAACGTAAAGAATAATAACATTGACAGAGTATGATCACATTTGCATAGAATTGTATTCATAGTTATATTATGTAATAACTGAAAGATGTAGTTGTTGTACATGCTGGCCGGATGCCTCGTGGTGGTATTGTGACCCTCGGAATCCGGTTTGGCAACACCTGGAGCAGAGCTGGAGTGGGTTCATGGAGTTGTTCCACTCCCCAAGTCTGGCCTCAGCCCAGGTTTGCCTTGTGATAATTTGGTCCAACAGGGTGTTGCTTGGAGGCGGCTCACAGGCCCACATATCCAATACAACCTAGGTTGGGCCTGTACGTCTTGCAAGAACAGTAATACTGGATGGCACTTTGGTATCGCCACCTGGCGGCCAATTTGGTAATGGTACCTGGCTGGCCAGTTTGGTAAGGCCAACCAGCTATATAAAACCTCGACTTGAAACAAAGACAATTGACTTGAGAATGGTCCAGGACGGACCGAAACGTCGTCGTCCCTTCACCTTCTAGTGTGTGATCTGGTCAACATATAAAACCTGAACACCAACCGTTTCACTTGGTTTCGAAATCGTAAACGTGAAACTGGATTAACAATCTGCCAAATAGATGGCGATACCTTCGGGGGTTTGGAATGCGCCCCAGGTGTGTATATATATACGCATTCAGACAATTTTTTTTTTTTTTTTTTTTTTTCTTCACGGGAGACATCTCCCGTCACGCAGGGTGCAGTCGCACCTCCACAGATCTCCAGTATTATCTATTGATGCTGGTAATGGCTCAAAAGGGCCACCACTTACGGGCTATTCATGCCCGTGCCACCTTTCGGGTGGCTTAATCTTCATCAATCAATGTCTTTTTCACGAACACAATTCTCTTCATTCCCTCCAAACAAAGTGGCTCCTCTGATTCGTTCAGTGCTGCTGCTCAGATGTTAGCGTACTTTCTGTTTCTTATCACATCGCATCTGTCTTTCTCTACAATACTCATTAAATGTGCCAGAATATATGTACTCTTTACACTATATTATTAACCTTCGTAATGCTCTCTTTCAGGATATAAATGACATGCAAAATACATATTTATTTAGTATATTTTATGAAATCCTACAACTAAGTACAAATACAAAAATATAAGATTGCGTATGTAACGTAAGCAAAACAAGACTCGGATACAGTATTGATCTGTACCCCCTTGCGCGTTCAGCATAAATCTGTCCTCTACCGTCCCAAACTTAGACACAGTCAAGTTTCCAAGCCGTGATATAATAAGTCACACTGCCTCTCCCACAAGCACAACTGTTCGACATAATTTGGACTTGGTTGACTAAATAGGCGAAGAGGTCGAGGGATAGGAAACGAAAATGCAGGAAATTCCGTGTAAAAAAAACTGATGCATCACAGTTTTAGACAGAAATGTATCTAATGCCCCGAGGAGCATAATGACCAACATAGTTGCGATTGCTGTGATGGATTAAGCGATAATAAGGGAAAGGAGATTGCGCTTGGGAAATGTCCCCAATGGAAAGCAAGAAAGGATTATTGATGCTGTAAACTCTATAAGGGAAGGTGGATGTGTACGGAGGTGAAAATGCTCTGTCTAGGGCATAATAGTAACCCGAGAACAGAGGAAGTGAACCGTCGATGCCGGACGGCCTTACAGCAGGTACGTCGTCCCTCGATTGAATTTCAGTCCCTGAATCGGCCAATTTTCCAGCGTCTGCAGACGGAGATGGAACATGTCCTGTGGAAGGCTCTTCAAAGATTGCAGGTGTTCGAATAGGATCAATGGTTTGTGGAACACTCTGAACATCTTCGGGGGCCGTGTCCTCGAAGCCCTCGCCAAGAGCTTCTGGCGCACTTTCAGGCACTGCGCCAACTTGTGGATCCTGGTCAACTTTACTGTCAAAGACTGGTTCTTCGGGGACAGTTTCTTCAACGACTTCACGAAGAGTGCCTTCAACAGGGACACCTTCAACAGGGACACCTTCAAAAGGGACACCTTCAAAAGCGGCGCCTATATCAGGAACACCTTCAACAGGAGTACCTTCAACTAGAGCGCCTTCAATAAGAGCCCCATCAGCAGGAGTACCTTCAAAAGAGGCGCTTACATCAGGAGTGCTTTCAACAGGAACATATTCAACAGGAAAATCTTCAACAGGGACATATTCAACAGGAGGATCTACATCAGGATGATCTTCAGCAGGAGTGCCTTCAGCAGGAGGGCCTTCAGCAGGAGGACCTTCAGCAGGAGGGCCTTCAGCAGGAGGGCCCTCAGCAGGAGGGCCTTCAGCAGGAGGGCCCTCAGCAGGAGGGCCCTCAGCAGGAGGGCCTTCAGCAGGAGGGCCCTCAGCAGGAGGGCCCTCAGCAGGAGGGCCCTCAGCAGGAGGGCCCTCAGCAGGAGGGCCTTCAGCAGGAGGGCCTTCAGCAGGAGGGCCTTCAGCAGGAGGGCCTTCAGCAGGAGGGCCCTCAGCAGGAGGGCCCTCAGCAGGGCTTTCAGCAGGAGGGCCCTCAGCAGGAGGGCCCTCAGCAGGAGGGCCCTCAACAGGAGGGCCTTCAGCAGGAGGGCCCTCAGCAGGAGGGCCCTCAGCAGGAGGGCCCTCAGCAGGAGGGCCTTCAGCAGGAGGGCCTTCAGCAGGAGGGCCTTCAGCAGGAGGGCCCTCAGCAGGAGGGCCCTCAGCAGGAGGGCCCTCAGCAGGAGGGCCTTCAGTAGGAGCGTCTTCAATAGGAGCATCTTCAGTAGGAGCGTCTTCAGTAGGAGCGTCTTCAGTAGGAGCGTCTTCAGTAGGAGCGTCTTCAGTAGGAGCGTCTTCAGTAGGAGCGTCTTCATTAGGAGTGTCTTCTGTAGGAGCGACTTCAGTAGGAGCGACTTCAGTAGGAGCGACTTCAGCAGGAGCGACTTCAGCAGGAGCGACTTCAACAGAAGCCCCTTCAAGAGGGGCACTTTCAGCAGGTGTGCCCTCAAAAGGGGCGCCCTCGGAAGGGACTCTTTCAGCAGGGGCGCCCTCTAGTAGGGCGTTTTCAGCAGGGACACTTTCAAATGGAGCGCTTTCGGCAGGGGCGCCTTCAAAAGGAGCGCTAACATCAGGAGCACCTTCGAAAAGAGAGCTTACGCCAGGAATGCCTTCAGCAGGGGCATCTTCAAAAGGGGCGCTTTCAGCAGGGACACTTTCAAAGGGGGCGCTTTCAGCAGGGACACTTTCAAAGGGGGCGCTTTCAGCAGGGACACTTTCAAAGGGGGCGCTTTCAGCAGGGACACTTTCAAAGGGGGCGCTTTCAGCAGGGACATTTTCAAAGGGGGCGCTTTCAGCAGGGACACTTTCAAAGGGGGCGCTTTCAGCAGGGGCGCCTTCAGAAGGAATACCTTCAAGAGGGGAGACTACATCAGGAATACCTTCAGCAGGGGAACCTTCAAAAGGGGTACTTTCAGCAGGGATACCTTCAAAAGGCGCGCTTTCACCAGGAGTACTTTCAAAGGGGGCGCTTACACCGGAAACACTTTCATCAAGCGCAGCTTCAGGAGATAATGTTTCAGGTACTTCAATATATTCTGGAGCGTGACCTACAGCTAGGGTATCCGGCCTAAGGACTTGTGCATCCTCTGTAGCTGGTTGAGTGTCTTGTCTTTCTATGGCCAATGGAGCGTCTTTAACTCGTTGTGGAAAATCAATAGCCAGAGATGAGAACTCGTCGGAAATTTGTCCAGGCTGCGTTGAAATGACAACGTCCTCTTCGGCTTTATCTGTTGGCTTAACTTCGTCTATTTCGGATGCTGCCTCGACCTCTGCAGCATCGCCAAGGACAACGGCAACAACATTATCTGCGTCGTTAGAGTTGAGTTTGATAGCGGTGACCTCGGGTGTGACTGGCTGAGAAGCTCCAGTGCTATAAGCAAGGGGCTGATTGTCATTCCTCACCTGGAAGCCATCGTGGCCGGCCGTGTATTCGACGTGTACGACCTGGTTGTCGGGGTCGATGTAGGTGTAGACGCCGGCCACGTTACCGAAGGCGTCGCGGATTTCGTTCTTGGCTTGACCAGGGTGGGTAAAACCATAGTTGACTTGGCCTAGCTCATCCTGGGCGTGGTGGCGGGTGATGTACGTAGTGGGAGGGACTGCAGGCGACGCTACCAGAGGGTAGGGGAATGCTGATGCTGGAGCGGCCCAGACGGCGCCCACGGCCACCAACACAATCTGGAAGGAGGAGACTGCTTTGTTATTCAGTATATTAATTAAGCTGCGCTTTAGCATTTTTTTTTCTTTTTTTGTCGCCATATAATTCTTTCCGCGTGGACAAAAATATGTGTCAACACGCACTAAAGGTTACCGTAATCTTTATATTACTCGGGAAATACCTGTGGAAATATTAATGAATGGAAAGATTAAGGATTATGACCTCGATCAGTTCAATAGCAAAACAAACAATTTCCTTTTTAAAATTAGGTGTATACACATACAACAAAGGACAATTAAACCTGTGGTATTGTCATCCCAATTCAAATTTGTCCACGAGCAACTAAACATACGCTTGAAAACACCTCGCTATGTAAGATAGTTCTGACATTTATTACCGGAAATACTAACAAGGAACACCACGTCAGTTTGACATAAAAACATATTCGTACGAGTCTACCTATGTGCACCCCAATACAAATCCTTACGTGCATTATTAATTTTTTGGTTTACACTAAATGCAGTCATTCACAGCATCCTGCCGTGAGCACACGGAGTCTGCTGTTGTCACGGATGCCTTGCAGAGGCATATGCAGCACCTGATTGATTGATGAAGATTGAACCACCACAAGAGGTGGCACGGGCATGAATAGCCCGTAAGTGGTAGATGTTTTGGAATGAATGTGATCTTTGGTCGTGTAAAACATCTTGAGTGTCTCTGGGCCCTGTGCAGCACCTATTTAACACTGTACACTTGTAACAAGGTGGTACATCACTCACCACACTCCCCCTCATGACTGTACACCAGGGACTTGCCCTCCAGCGCCAGGCACCAGGCTTATATACCCCTGGCAGGCCGCAGGTGCCGCGAGTTAAGATTCATGCTTATTGTCACTCGAAGTTCTGATGATTTCGCGACGAAAATAATTTAAAATACATGCAACAGGATCCACTAAAACAATCGGGACTTCATTGCAATCGATTGGAAGCAATACGAATGAGCTAAAATAAATCTGAGTGAAAGTTAGGTCGTTGATATTTGTTGAGAGACGTGATGTGGTGTGTCACTACCTGCTGGGCAGCTGGGGGCAGCGGGGACAGGAGGCGTATGCCTTTTGTGGGAGCATGACAGCTGTTTTTATAATTCAAAGTAGACTGCGTCATCATACAACCTTTACTCAACACTAGCCGTCTAGTGTTGAGTAGTGAAGGAAACTGTTGTCTTTCTGAAATGGCAAAATTTCCCCAAAACGTTATAGTTGATACAAATGAAGATTTTTGGTGGTAAATTGTCAGCATATTGAGAGATGCGCATCAAAAGTCATAGGTCACGGTCCACTAAGACTAACTGGCTATATATATTTTTTTGCATTCAGATGTGAACAAGATGCTCATCGTTATGGAATCCAGTAGATCTGGACGAACCTGCGTCACAGACCCGGGTTTTAAAAAACTTGCATATTTTGCAGAAAAATATTGGAAACCAAAATAAGTTAACGTGTGTGAGTGTGTGTGTGTGTGTGTGTATATATATATATATATATATATATATATATATATATATATATATATATATATATATATATATATATATATATATATATATATATATATATATATATATATATATATATATATATATATATATATATATATATATATATATATATATATATATATTATAATTGATTATGCCTTGCCTAAAAATTGGTGATTTAAATTTTAAAGATAGAAAGTTTATCTGCACACTGGTGTGTGTATGTATATATACATGTATGACCCCCTCCCCCCTCTCCTTCACCGAACGGTGAAGGAAGGTTCATCACTCCTGCGAGGGGTGTAGGGGGCGTGGTTCATACTATTATGAGTGCAAGAAGGGAGGTCCAGGTCCTTCCTCGAAGGGGGTGACCTTCGTGTCACTCCTCGACACCCGCACTCTCTCCCTCCTAGTACATGCTCTTCCTTTAGGGGCAACTCTTCCTTGCTCGACCCTTTCCCCCTTTTGCGTCAGTTTGATTCACCCCCCCTCCCCCTTCCCTCCCTCATGGCTCCTAGACACTGTCATGGCCCCTAAACACTGTCATGGCCCCTAAACACTGTCATGGCCCCTAGACACTGTCATGGCCCCTAGACACTGTCATGGCCCCTAGACACTGTCATGGCCCCTAGACACTGTCATGGCCCCTAGACACTGTCATGGCCCCTAGACACTGTCATCGTCTGCAGTGAAGCTCGTATATAATATTTAGGTTTAAGTCTTGTCTTCACGATGCTTCGTTTCTCACCAGTCCCTGAGTCCTCTTACTCTGAGCATCTAGTCAACCACTATTGTGGATATTTTGTTGTGAATATTTCGCTGCCTGGAGTAAGTATCCTTTCAGGGGTCATTACCTCCCGAAGGTTATTATCACCGAACACTTTTGGTGTCGACGTCGGTTGAGTCACGACGTCTGAGAACAACGACTTGTTCGTTGACTTGACTTAATTGACTTGAGAATGGTCCAGGACGGACCGAAACGTCGTCGTCCCTTCACCTTCTAGTGTGTGGTCTGGTCAACATACTTCAGCCACGTTATTGTGACTCATCGCCTGCGTCTGAGAACAACGCTCGCCATATTTATACTACAAGCTAAGTGGTTCTCACTCGCAGGTAGTAACGTCACGCCGTTACTCCCGGAGTAATTATTCCCTCTTGAGACGAGGAGGATTTTGCTTTTTAGTGGAGTTATGAAGCTGTTGGGGAATATTTGAGAAATTATGTCTAACAGCGGCTACTTCCATGCTCTGGAGCGACATGATAAGACTGCATGGATTACCAGGCGCGCATTTAGTGGGGAGCTCCCTGTTGTTGTTTTGTTGTTTTGTTGTTTTAGATTCAGCTACTCGGAACAAAAGTTCCAAGTAGCACGGGCTATGGTGATCCCGTACTCCGTAGTGGACTTACCTGGTACAAGAGCGGTGACGAGCTCCCTGGTCTGTGACAAGTTATATCACGTTAAAAGCAGACTTTCACGACACTTGACCTAGCAATCGTCTGGGGAAAAGGCGAATCATTCAAACTCTCTCACCCCTGATTACCCTAGCCCGCCCATCCTACGCTAACATAAGAGAACCATTCTAATATTACTAATTTTAATTTGAGAAACGGTGTTTATATTTTTACACCGTACTCAATATAACATAATTGAATGCCGCTGGGATCACTCTGCTGAGATAAATAATTATTGTTCCTTAATGCAGAAAAAACTCTAGCGACAAATTTAATAAACCCGCGTCGTCATCAGTTTTGTTTGTGTTCACCTGTAATACAAAATGCAATTGTGCGATACAATACAAAAATACCTGAATAATACTATATCTTCCTCGAACTAACCCGGTTTGGTGCCTTCTTTTGATAATTACTTACTTACTTCCTCGAACTAATATATCACATAATAACATATTTCTTCCTATCCGCACCCACGTTGTTCCAAAGAGAATGAATATGCAAATGTAACCTAATAAAGTCCAGAATATATGTCTGAGTCAGCGAGGAGGGGCGGCAAGGATGACTCACTTACCTACTAAGGTGAGTAACAGCCCCCCCCCCCCCGCTCCTGGCGTCACCCTACGACCGGTCGACGCCAGGCGCCGGTGGTCAACCCGACGTTGAACAGCGACGCCTGTTCAACGTTCATATTTCCTAGTAGAGCGTCGCATTTTGACGTAAACTCTACTTAAGGGGAAAAATTGTCGTACTAGAAAACGGTAGCGGCTCGCGAAATTGACATACTGTCTCGTTTTCTGTTTTGGGGCCTCTGGTAGGTTAGGATAAAGGGCAGTTTAGTACGACAGTTTCTTGACGTTGGGAAATCTTAGGAGGGACGGACTGCGCTCTTGCTCTGAAAATCTTTCAGAAGTGGTAGAATTCTCGCCTGCCGTTGCCTAACTCCCGGGTGCTAGGCGAACAGCTGCATCAGGTGAAAGGAAACGTGCCCAATTCTCTCTGTCCTGCCAGGGGATTGAACCCGGGACCCACCCTTTGCTGTCAGTCGATGACATATAACTGCGCCACAGGGTCCTTTGCGTCCCTAGTGATAAACATGATCAAATCCACCTTGAAACACATCTTTCTCCTCCCTGCCGCTAGGGGCCTGGTCGGGGACCGGGCCGCGGGAACGATAAACCCCGTAATCCTCGCAAGGTAACCTCAAGGTAACTGTCCTTTTCCACCTTGAACCTTGAGCATCTTGAGCCTCCGTTGAACAAATCCACAAGGGCCGTGAATAGTGTTCGGTGGCACAGTATCGAAAGCTTTGTTCAAATCGAGGTGCTCGGAGTTCATTAAAACACAAGTCCGAGAGAAGCAGCGTCTGCAGGGATGGTGACTTTTTTTTCAAGGATATTCCTGCGCGGGCCCTAAGCCTCTGGCTGGCCCACTATGTGTTGCTTGTTTCTGTTTTACTTGGGCGGAGTATGAGTATTTATGACTCGTATGGTCGCTTCAGTAATATTTTGTCCCATGTGTTTAACAACTTCTTCTGCTCTGTTGAATCTAAGTTGAAATCTTAACGGGTTTGTAACTGTGCACTGTGTTAGATAATGTTCCAGTGGTCTGTTTATTTTATTTAAGGTGGTTTATATTGCATTTGTTTTAATAGTTTATAAGTTCCGAAGGGCTACGAGGTTGTCTATATCAATAATAACCTTGGGTTGTCAAGTTGCGAATATCGTAAACTGTTCAGTAAACACAGACTAAACCAGAGAAAGATATATATATAAGTTTCGTATGTGGATACTTGGTGAATCGTGCATGTGTCTGGTGGTGTTGAGGGGAACTTAATGTGTTAAGCATGTTGACTCGGAGCTGTGTAGTGTCATCAAACTCGCAAGATTGTATGTGAAGAGCATGTCTCCTCGTGGTGCTCCCTGGAACACACACACACACGGGAGACATGATCACCACCTACAAAATTCTTCGCTGAATTGACAGAATGGACAAAGACAAACTATTTAGAATGGGTGGACCACTAACAAGGGGACGCAGAAGGAAACTGAGTACCCAAATGAGCCACAAAGACACTAAAAAGAATGTTTTCAGTGTCAGAGTAGTTAACAGATGGAATGCATGAGGCAGTGATGTGGTGGAGGCAGACTCCATACAGTTTCAAATGTAGATATGATTCAGCCCAGTAGGCTCAAGAATCTGTACACCAGTTGATTGACAGTTGAGAGGCGGGACCAAAGAGCTAAAGCTCAACACCCGTCAAGCACAACTTGGTGAGTACACAAGCACACACACACACACACACCACACACACACACACACACACACACACACACACACACACACACACACACACACACACACACACACACACACACACACACACACACACACACACACACACACACACACACCACACACACACACACACACACACACACACACACACACACACACACACACACACACACACACACACACACACACACACACACACACACACACACACACACACACACACACACACACACACACACACACACACACACACACACACACACACACACACACACACACACACACACACACACACACACACACACACACACACACACACACACACACACACACACACACACCACACACACACACCACACACACACACACACACACACACACACACACACAAACACACACACACACCACACACACACACAAAACACACACACACACACACACACACACACACACACACACAAAAAACACACACACACACACACCACACACACACACACACACACACACACACACACACACACACACACACACACACACACACACACACACACACACACACACACACACACACACACACACACACACACACACACACACATATACAATACACGCACACTTGGAGTTGAATGACCAAACCGGTTCCAGTACCTTGTTTCTAGTCGTAAATCTTAACACAAACAAAAAAGGGGAAATTTAGTAGTATCGTATTGTGATAAGCGACGGTCGTCCTGGAAATGAGAACACGTGGCATAATGTGTTAAATATTCCCCAGTAGCCAATATACACTCGACGAGCACGAAAATAGAAAAAAATCGATACATTGCTGGTATGAATATATACCAAATGTCTTGCAGTGGACAACAGTCGGAGTGATCAGGTCGGCATAAGCGAAAAGGAGAATAAGAGTTGAGCATTTGAAAAACATTCATATTTATTACGAATTACAGTTTTACTATGCAATTCCAGTTGAAATAACTGTACTAATACGGGGTGAGTTTTTCATGATGATGCTTTCACCGGGCACAGTTCTATACCTAAGTCTCACAAGCGGCAGGGGAGCAGGAGGGTATTATTCCTTGGGCTTAGCGACCTGGATGAAAGGGTATCCAGGGTAGCCGAAAGTACCAGGGTAGCCGAAAGTACCAGGGTAGCCGAAAGTACCTTGGAATCCGTAGACACCTGGGAAGCTGTAGGCTTGAGGTGTGCCAAGAGCACTGTAGGTGAGAGGCGCTCCTGTTTTATCCTTCACGCCAACAACAAACGGAGCTCCAGGAAACACAGGGGCGTGCAGGCCGTAGGCGCCGTAGGGGAGGCTGTCGGTGTAGAAGGGGGACAGTTTGCCGTCAATACCGGAGAGGAAGCCGGATAAGGTGGAGATCTTACCATCCAGGTCGAAATCGGGTGCGGCCTTAGCGCGTGCTGCGGCAGCGTCGAAGGCGGCCTGGAACTCGGATTTGGCAGCGGCGACATCCGCGGTGTCCTTCACCGGGGCGGGGACGTCCTGGGTAGCAGCCACTTGTAAAGCGTCTGTCTGCACTACTTGCTCCTCCACGGGGACGGCGACGGCACATGCGGCCAGAGCTATGAGTACCTGATGACGCCAGAGAACCTCATAATACTCGCATGAAACCCGGAGAGTGTCTTAAATATTTTACATTTAGAGGCAAGCAAAGGTCTCACCACATATGGGGTGAGGCACATGAGACCAGAGAAGAAAAAATGTGTTCAGTCTTGATGATTACATACACACGGAAGAGATATGGGAACTAGCTTACAAGCTGGGGAATGATTTCCAACCACTTAGACTATTGGGGATGGAACGCGGACCATGCAAGAAGCTATAGGCAGCCACTTTACCGGTCAATCTAAGTAGATAGACATTTAAGACCAGATGTTCTAAACTATGGGCTTGATGGTGGCTTTGAAATCTGCGCTATTATAAACATTTCGCTTTTGCAAACATATTAAGAGTTCTGGATACTACAATGTTACGTGGCCTAGTGACTGATCTTCATAAACTCTTTAACTGTACCTAAGCAATATACCAAATTAATTAAATACCCTGATATAACATGAACAATAAAATTAGAAATATTTATTAATTATAATACTATTAAAACTATTAACATCTAGCTTAAATATTAACCTAATGGCTAAAACATTAACTTTGTACTGAGGCTTACAGCATTAATATTGGCTTAATAATATGAATGTGTTATAGTATATAAATGTTACTGATAATATGTAATAAGTACAAATATACTGAATCGTAACATTAATAATATTTAAAAATAACGTAAATAATAAGCTCCACAAACACAGAACCTATCACGATATATTTTGTGTAAAGATTAACACACAAAACAAGCATATGAGGTTGAGGATGGTGTACCTGGTTGCTAAAACGATTTGGCAGGTCGTATTCCGGGGAAAATTAGAGAACTTGCCCGAAACGCTATGCATGCTAGTGGCTTTACAAGAATGCAAGAACTCTTGTATATATATAAATAAATAAAATACAAATGAGGAGAGACTTACGAAAACCTTCATGTCTGCAGTCGTCTCGCGAGCTGATGTAGAATGACCGGCCTCAAGAATGCACTTAAATAGCGGCCGGACCATAGCGCCTCGACACCGTTGCGTCCCTTCGACGGGAAAACCTTCCGTCCCTACTTCCCATATAGCGTGTCTTACGCTCCGTCTACGCCTTCAGGAAGGTCCTGCCGTTCATGTCAGACATAAGGCGCAAGTTTCTCCCTTTATTAGATGCTGTGCGATTAAAGATATATTAAAGGCAGCATCAATTTAGGAAGATGGTAGCCTATGATGCAGACAACCTTGGTAGCGAGGCGTGGTCAGGGCCGGTTGTCTCGGGGTTGTCGCTAAGGCCGTTGGACACCCATACTGGTAACGGGAAATCTTCAATATTTCCACCCTTAACGCCCAGAGTGTGTGTGAGAGCCTTAGTTCGTATGAGTAGGTTTCAGTGGATGCTCATCACCCTTCGGGTTGATTAAAGGCGAAAATGTGGAAAACCTTGAACCGTGATGTAACTGAATTAAAATTGGAGTTCAAGTCGGTCAAGTTGACGTGATCCCTCCCCGCCCCCAAAAAAAAAAGAGGAAGAAAAAATGCTGATGGCCACGTTAGCTGGAGGATCTTCAACACACACACACACACACACACACACACACACACACACACACACAGGCGGGGCCTGATAGCTGAGTGGACAGCACTCTGGACTCATAATCCTAGGGTCCGGGTTCGATCCCAGCTGATGGCAGAAACAAACGGGCAGAGTTACTTTTACCCTGATGCCCCTATTACCTAATAGTAAATAGGTACCTGGGAGTTAGACAAGTGTTACGGGCTGCTTATTGGAGGAAAAGGGGGGGGGGGGTTGTGGAAAAAACAAAATAGTTAGTAAGAGTTGAATGATTGACAGTTGAGAGGCGGGCCGAAAGAGCAGAGCTCAACCCCCGCAAGCACAACTAGGTGAATACACACACTGAAATATGGTAAAAATATAAAAAATTGTAAAATGGAAGAATTGCTGATTTTTTAAGCGTAATAAAGACTCACTATTAGTGACATAACTAATATGAGCTTTATTTATTAAGCACTCTTCTGCTGGGTCATGAAGGAAGCCGGCCTCGGGTGAAAGAGGGCTGTGACGATCTCTGGAACCCGTAGGTGCGGGACTGGGACGTCCACCTCCTGGGGCTCGTGCGGCCCCCCAGGCTCTGCTTCAGGAGGCTGGGGTCGTTCTTGCTCTTGCTGGGGTGGTTCTTCTCCGGCCCCGACCACGGCGGTCTCCGGGTTTGGAGTCCCTGTGTCTTCTTTTACCAACTTCGAGGTAACTCTCCGGAGCTGGAGCCCCTAGGGCAGTTCGTTGTTGCCTTCAACCTCGTTCTGACAGTTCCTGCGACGGCGCTGGAACCAATCGTATTGGCGTTTGCCTTTCCATTGGAGACTTTCGGCGCCGTGGAGAGGGGGACCTGCTGCATGGGTGACAGCTTCTCCCCCGTATCAACCTACCCTGGCTTTGCGCCCTGGAGAGGCCACTCCAGACCGACAACCAGAGCGCAACTCCATAGTCTCCTGAGACTGATGGATGCCTACTACCGTTGGTGTACAGCGCCCCGTCGATAGCTGAAAGTTGGCCGGAGAGTTGGCCGGAGTAAGTGGAGATTGAACCGTCCAAGTCGTAGTCGGGGGCGGCTTCTGCAGCAGCAGCGGCAGCGTCATAGGCCGCCTGGAATTCGGCTTTTGCCTTTGCCACTTCTGGAGTGTCCTGCACTGGCTCAGGAGGACCAACTGGAGCCACAGAGGCAGCTGCCTTGGGAGCAGGTGCTTCAGGAGCAGGTGCTTCAGGAGCAGGTGCTTCAGGAGCAGGTGCTTCAGGAGCAGGTGCTTCAGGAGCAGGTGCTTCAGGAGCAGGTGCTTCAGGAGCAGGTGCTTCAGGAGCAGGTGTTTCAGGGGCAGGTGCTGCAGGGGCAGCCACGTCAGCAGTTTCAACAGGAGCTTCTGGAGCTGGGTCTGTGGTGGCAGCGGCAACAGCGGCGTTGTAGGCCTCCATGAAGGCGGCTCTTGCATCCACGACTTCTGGAGTGTCTGTAACAGGTTCTGGGGCAACAAGGTTAGAACCATCAGGCCCAACGGGCAAGTTGTTGCTCTTGAACTGCACGCCGTTGACGCCGGCCGTGTACTCGACGTGCACGGGCTTGTTGTCGGCGTCGATGTAGGTGTAGACGCCGGCCACGTTACCGAAGGCGTCGCGGATTTCGTTCTTGGCTTGACCAGGAATAGCAAAACCATAGTTGACTTGGCCTAGCTCATCCTGGGCGTGGAACTGGCTCGCGTAGGAGACGGGTGCTAGAGGAGCAGGTACGCCCACTACTGCGCCTGAGTAAGGCACCAAGAAATTGGGCGCAGCGCAAGTGACGCCCACCAGAGCCAAAACCACCTGTGAGAAGAATATCCGAATCAATATAAATATATAAAATACGAAAGATTTTACATTCTTCGTTTCTGGAATTGCAATTGTTAAGTTACCCAAAAAACTTTATTTATTGTAATAATTAAGGATAGCTGCATCTACTCCTTCATGCCTCTGTTTCGTACATAAGACCACTTTTCTGACTAAACATATTCTATTATCTATTTTCCAGAGCATGAAATCACGAAAAAACCCATCTTGGTGATAGTGTTCAACTGTGTGTGTGTGTGTGTGTGTGTGTGTGTGTGTGTGTGTGTGTGTGTGTGTGTGTGTGTGTGTGTGTGTGTGTGTGTGTGTGCATGAGCGCGCGCTTACCTAACAGTGACTACCGGAGAGTGAAGTCTAGCTCTTTATTCCCCGCCTTGCTGCGGCTGTCGCCTTATTATTTAAATCCTCTGACGTTCCAGTTTTTTTTTTTTAATCAGGGCTTTTAAGTTGTGGAAGGAGGTGGCTTCTACAACTTCGTTCAGTGCTTTCCACTTGTCGACTACCCGTACAGGGTACATGGAAGATTTCCTTATATTTCTACGACTCGTTAGCGTTTCCAGTTTCCATGTATTGGGATTACTCGGTACAAACATCATTATTATGTTAGTGTAAAGGGACATTTTTGCCAAAATAAAACGTGTTGATGTGTAGCGTGCTGAAGGTGTGCAGATTTCTACAGCACCATGATGTGATTTGTTTACATTACTTCTCCTTCAAGTTGTCTTTACGTCATCTTAATTGAGTGATATAAATTGTGCCAAGATCTGTCTCGCTGCTCTAATGATAAATTACACTATATTTTACCAATATATATCACTCAAATCGTAAACGAAATCTGTGTGACTTAAATCAAAATCTCTCAACTTATGACAACGAATTTAAGTTAGATTTAAACTGTCATACACCTGTTCAGTTCATTGTTGAAACGATTTATATAAGTTACGAATACGTTTATACAAAAAGTTACTAGTAAAACTATGTGGAAGAAAACGAGGATAAACTTACAAAAGCCTTCATGTCTCCAGCGGTCGTTGTGAGAGATTGAGTAGCTTGGAGTGTCTCTCCTCAGCTTATATATACACTTCCTCAAGCTGGCACTCTCAGATGCCACGCAGGTATTAATGCCCCGACCATTTCCAGGGATTATATTCATGTGTCACTGTGAATTTTATCAAAATTTCACTTCATATTACTGTTAGATTTTAATGCTTTTTATGTCTGTAAGATTAGACAATTTTGAACTTGGTGTTGATTTTGCTCGAATTAATCCCCGAAATACGGAGCAAGTTCGAAATAACCTTTGTGTTAGGGTGTGGTCCTGGTATGAAGTGAGAGTTCGGGATAGGGGGGGAGGGGGGGTTCCAAGGTCGCGTATGCCGCCTGCATGATCAATAGATCTGTTGGTATACGTAATTTCGTTTAAGGCTCTCTGTCCTCACCTCACGTCATCCCGTGTCTCTCTTCACCCCGAGTGCCAGTACCTTTCCTTACTAGTGCGCATATGGACAAATATATATTATATATATATTATATATATATATTATATATATATATTACATATATATATATTTGGTACCGTATTATTATATATAATAGTAGGGTACCACCTCTGGTGCAATTGTAGGGACTCAAAGTGTATTTGTACATGTAGACATACAGTCTGTTTATTTATCTATCTTTTTTACCTTTGCTGGCACACTGTTGGTCTGACGGATCATGTGTTCAGGGACCCGCCAGCCTCACTACTCTCCCAGCAGACAAAAAGGACCAAGTACTGGATTATAAACGCTGATCTCGATACGTTTTTAGCCCACTGTATGTCCTTTGAACTCCTTTGAATAACTTAGTCTTAAATTTTAAATCATCCTTATCTAATTTAATATTGAAGCTAATATTTCCGGTACCTTTGTTCGTCGCTTGTATGTCTATGTTGTTAAGCAACTACAAAATATCATTAGTAAACAATGCAGCATAATGATATGTAAACAGCGGACGTTGAGGCAGTCCTGTGGATTAGTTGAGTGAGGCCTGTCCCTGTTACCCAGGTGGTGGCATTGTGTCCAGAATATGACCAGCATACTCGCAGCGAAATTAAGGTAGGGAACAAGTTGGTAATTGAGACCAAGGTTGAGTAATTCAAGGATATAATGTTCTAATATCCGGGCGGTGGCAGGCTGTGTTTGTATTACAAATGTACTGTACTGGGTGTGCTTTATACTTTCTGATAAGGCTTCCTTTGGAGAGGGGGGGCGTGGTCGGTGGGACCCGTTAGGGAGTGGAGGATAGTGTGTGGGGGGGGGGAGGAGGAGGGGGGGAGGGATGCCCGGGAGGTTGAGAATAGAAAAAAATGGAGGGTATGACATGGGATGATAATGGTGGGGGTAAGGAAGGGCTGTGGTGGAGAGTGTTCAGGAGCAAGGGTGGGCGGAGGGGAAGAGAGAGACGCTTCTTCTGTCATTACTTTCACCTTTACCAAACTATATATGCTTGTTCACCGGTATACTTTGAACCTTGTGGTCATTTGTTACACCTGCCTGTGTGCCTGCCTGCCTTCCTGCGTGCCTGCCTGCCTGAATGCCTGGCTTCCTGTTTGCACACATGGATTCTTACTTTCGACAGCCCCGCTGCTTGCCATTCCCATACATTCACTCGTGTCCTATTTATATTTCCCCACGCAGCCTATTCATACCAATAAACCCAGCCAGCAACCAACCCATAGGCTGGGAGTTGGCCAAACACTGCACAGAAACACTAATGAAAAGCCTGGGCATCTGATACTCCAATGCTGATGGCTTGGCAAATAAAGCAGATGAACTCGAGGAAATGAATGTAGACGTAAATCCCTGATGCAATAACAGGTAGTGATAAAATAAACAATGTAGATTATCCCCACTCCTCTTCTCATCTAAGGAAACAAGATTTTATGTCATTGTTATGGTGGTAAACAATTACACGTAGTTCATTGGGAAATTGTTTTAGAGGCGGGTAATAGCCGAGATTTACATCCCTTAAAGAAACACACAAGAACCCGACAAGGTTGACAACAGGACTTTTTTTTTTAATCCTGCAACTTACATCACAAGAGATCATAAATTAAAAATAAGGTACCGAAAAAAAATTGTTCAAATTTTTTTTTTTTTTTTTTGGTGCGAACAGTATTATGGACAGTTGGAATAATTTAAGAGAGCGGTGGATCCCCCCAAAAATTCACCTGAAGCTCAAAACATCACATAACGATGATTGTAGGAAAGGCGGGACACCGCGAGCATAGCTCTGGTCCCTCGTAAGATTACACTTAGGTAATTACACTTAGGTAATTGAACCTTTGGGTAGGACGGCCAGCTCTGCCCACTGCGCAACAACCCGAAAGAGCTGTTGCTGCTTTGACTGCGTCTCTGCTTCCATGAGCACGTGTTGGTGAAGGTGTTGATGTAGAGCTGGTGGTGGTGTTCGTTTAGCAGCTGGTGTAGGTCTATCAACACCAACAACTTATCTATACCAGGTGTGTAGGCGACGTTGAGGCATGTGTGAGTGTGTATACAGGTGTAGGTGAGGCGCAACTGTGGTGTAACAGCAAGTGTGTTACAGCTGTGAGTCTCTCTTGGTATAGGGGTTGCTTATCGTATTAAGGTGAGCGCGCGTGCGAAATACACACACACACACACACACACACACACACACACACACACACACACACACACACACACACACACACACACACTGTAAGGAAGCTTTTACTAGAGTTGGAGGTGACAAAGGCTATAGGCCCGGATGGATTCTCACCGTGGATACTAAAGGAAGGAGCAGAAGCACTGTGTCTGCCACTCTCCATGGTGTATAACAAATCACTGGTAACAGGTTAACTGCCAAAAATTTGGAAGACGGCTAATGTGTCCCTAATTGCATACCATGCAAGTTGATGGAGAAGATTGTGCGAAAAAAGCTAGTGGAACATCTGGAGCAAAAGAACTTAGTAACACAACATCAGCATGGGTTCAGGGATGGCAAGTTCTGCCTCACAGGATTAACTTAGTTCTACGACCAGGCAATAAAAATCAAGCAAGAAAGAGAGGGGTGGGCAGACTGCATATTTTTGGATTGTCAGAAAGCCTTTGACACAGTACCACACAAGAGACTAGTGCAAAAGTTGGAGCTCCAAGCAGGAGTGAAAGGAGAGATACTCCATTGATAAGGGAGTACCTAAGCAACAGAAGACAGCAAGTCACTGTGAGGGGTGAGGTCTCATATTGGCGAGGCGTCACCAGAGGAGTCCTGCAGGGGTCAGTCCTTGGACCTATACTGTTTCTGATATATGTAAATGATCTCCTAGAGGGTATAGAATCGTTCCTCTCATTGTTTGCTGATGATGCAAAAATTATGAGGAGGATTAAGACGGTGGAAGATAGTATGAGACTACAAGATGACCTAAACAAACTGAATGAATGGTTCAACAAATGGCTACTAAAGTTCAACCCGATTAAATGTAAGGCAATGAAACTAGGCAGTGGAAACAGGAAGCCAGACACGGGATACCGAATGGGAAGATGAAGTCCTTAATGAAACGGACAGAGAGAAAAATTTAGGAGTTGATATCACACCAAACCTGTTTCCTGAAGCCCACATAAAAAGAATAACATCTGCGGCGTATGCGAGACTGGCTAACATCAGAACTGCCTTCACGAACCTGTGTAAAGAATCATTCAGAGCCTTATATACCAAATATGTAAGACCAGTCCTGGAGTATGCGGCCCCAGCATGGAGCCCGTACCTTGTCAAGCACAAGAAGAAACTGGAAAAAGCTCAGAGGTATGCCACTATGCTAGTCCCAAAACTAAGAGGCATGAGTTACGAGGAAACCCTGCGTGGGATGCACTTCACGACACTGGAAGACAGCAGAGTAAGGAAAGACAGACACTACCTACAAAATTCTCAGAGGAATTGACAGGGTAGATAAAGATAAACTGTTTATCACGGGTGGTACGCGAACAAGAGGACACAGGTGGAGACTGAGTACCCACATGAGCCACAGGGACGTTAGAAAAAAAAACTCCATCAGTGTCAGAGTAGTTAACAGACAGAATACATTAGGCAGTGATGTGGTGGAGGCTGACTCCATACACAGTTTCAAATGTAGATATGACAGAGCTCGGCAGGCTCAGGAACCTGTACATCAGTTGATTGACGGTTGAGAGTCGGGACCAAAGAGCCAGAGCTCAACCCCCGCAAGCACAACTAGGTGAGTACGCATTTAAGATAACTGTCCCAGTTGCAGAAGGGGACGCGGCACTAGTCAAGATGAGGCGGACAAAAACTTGAATCTATTGTTGCAACGACCGAGAGGGGGGAGGGGGGGGGGATGAACCCCTTGCAGCCATCATCCCACTCATCCTCATCCTCATCCCTCTCGATTATTACCCCCCCCCCACCCCCGCCGATTATTTGATAAGTTTAGATTTAGGAAAGACCTGGGTAAATACTGGTTTGATAACAAGGTTGTGGATTTTTCGGGACAAATTATCGGGTAACACAATAAATGTGAGATCTCTTGATTGTTTCAAGCGTAGGTTAGACATGGCTATGAATGAGTTTGGGTGGGTATCAATAGGAGCTGACACGCATGGGGCCAATAGTCATTCTACACTTAGATTCATATATTGTTATGTTCTCCCCACTCATTCCCAATCGACCCTACGACTTTTTCATTAATATCCAGTAAAAATTACCCCGCTCCAACACGCCCTGCTCTTTCAAAGTCAATCCCAAATCTCTCTTAACACCTCTCTACGGGCTCGCCATAGCCCGTGCTACTTGGAGTTTTTGTTCCCAGTAGCTGAATCTAAAACAAGAACCACTGGACTCATTCCTAGTCATCCCGAGGCGCCAAGCCACACACCTGTAAGCATCCCTATGCTCCACACAACTCAGACTGTTCACACCTGCACTTCATACACCTGTCTTTCCAAATCATGTACAAAACTCGGTCTCATCTTTTTAAGATATGAAGAATATGGGTATTGGAAGTTGATGAGGTGGAGGTACAGGGACATGAGTGGAGGGAGAGTAGTGGATAGAAAGGGACGTAAACAGAGAGAAGCGTGAATAGAAATAGACGTGGATGGGAAGGATAGTGATGGCAAAAATGGGCGTG